TACATCAGGCTACATTTATATGTTAGCAGGAGGAGCTATATCATGGAAAAGTGTCAAACAAACACTTGTAGCTTCCTCCACTATGGCAGCGGAATTTGTAGCTTGCTATGAGGCATCCAATCAGAGAATATGGCTGCGAAACTTTATCACGGGACTGCGCATTTTGGAAAATATGGAAAGACCAATAAGGTTATATTGTGACAATAAATCTATAGTAATGTATTCCAATAACAACAGGAGCTCAACTAAGTCAAAACATATTGACATTAATTTCCTGGTTGTGAAAGAAAGGGTACAGAGTGGACAGATATCCATAGAGCACATTGGGACAAACTCCATGATAGCTGATCCTCTTACTAAGGGATTACCACCCAAGGTCTTTCATGAGCACACTGCTCATATGGGTGTGGTGTTATTTGAGGATATCATGATTTAGTGGGAGTTCGTAATTTTTGGTGCTTTATGTTTGGTTGTATTGTCTGATCAGAATAAAGTATCCAGTTAAGACACTCTATTACATTATATTTGGTTTTGACCTCACTAAAGGAGGACCAGTTAAAAATAGACATGTACTGATCACATTGCATGTAATTTTCATGCTGCATATCCATGATTGATCTATGTCGTTTGATTGTGTTGGTATATGTAACCATTGATGGGTCGAGTCACGATAAGTGTGACGAAGGCCGCTTTGATCCTATATTGATATAGTCAATGGACGAGATTGTTCGGAAATACTTTTTTAGTGATAGCAATTTTTGAGCTCATAAGGTTATATACAATTTAAGGAATCATATGGTGCCCAAGTGGGAGATTGTTGGATTTAATCTAATAAATCTATTTGTGGGCACATATAATTAATCAATGTGTATTGCTATCCTTTAGGATAACTCACTAAAGTGATTAATTAATTTGGATTAATGGGTATTTAAATAAGTCATGGAGTTATATGTGCAGATACCAGGTTGTAATTGTGATTTGATGAGGGGCCAAATTGCAAATGTACAACATCTATAAATAAAGGGTTATGGTCGCTAATCTAGGGTTACACTCTCTAATTCTCTTCACCCCCATCTAGAGAGAAATTTGGCTAGAGAAACCCTAAGGTTAGAAGATCCAAAACCCATCTCAAGTTTAAGCTATGGATTCAGGTATAAGCTTCCGCTCTTTTTGATTCTTGTTAATCTCTTTGAATTAATCATGGCTTTATGGTTTAGATCTCAAGTTTTTTATTAGATCTAACAACATCTACACTCATCAAATGACAAAATAGGCGAGGGACCGCAGACATTTGAGTGAACAATATCAAAAATAGAAATTAAGCTTTATTGAATGATTTAGAATAAGAGACTCTTGTTTGTTTTGCAAGCTCACAAAAATGAAAAATCTAATTTTTTTCAAAAGATACTGCCTCAAAAAGACTAGGAACTAAGACTGACCTAATGACTGACTCGAAACAAAATCTTTGACATCCAGGAGATCTAAGCCACCAACTTTACAACCACTCCTAATCATTTGCTCTGTCCGTAGGTCCTAAAACGCACAATGAGAAGGAAAAAAAATGTTACGAAGCAATTCAAATCTTTAGTGAGAGCACTAACAGATAGGAGGTTAGGGGATAATTTAGGAACATGAAGAACAGATATCAAGCACAGATTGTCTACTTGGATATTTTCCTTTCTGAATATAGCAGAAAAGGAACCATCAGCTGTTTTTATTTTTTCTTGTCCAGAACCCAATTCATATGAAGAATAGAACTGAGAGTTGTTGGTCATATGCAAGAGGCAAGAAAAGATATACCAAAGGGGGTGAAGGCAATTGATGCAGAAGGATTTGATGCATGATCCACTCTTTGAACAAACCGACGTATTGCTTCGAGATTAAATTTGGAGAGCAGTGTTTCCCTTTGACCGGTACTTCTCCTCGACATTCTCTAAAGCTGTTAGCTTGAGATATGGATGCTTTTGCCAACACTTTGCTTCCACTTGTCCAGCTTTCTTGCAATGTGTGCACTCCAAAATTGGCTTACCATCGCGTCCGAATCTTTGGTCAGACCTCCGTCCTTCCACAGAAGCAGTTAAGGCTAATGATTCTGCAATTTCTGTAACCTTCTCAGAAACCGGAGATGGATTCATCGCCCTGCATCTATCTTCCTCGGTTCTAGTGGCTTCATACACATCGATCATCCAGCCATGGAACTTTAAGAGTCCAAAACTCTTGCCCTTTGTGCTTCAAACGAACGATTGAGGCCAAGCAAGAAATTCAAATTTTCGTCCTTTCTTCAACTTGTTTCTTGTACTTCTCCCTGTCGTCCTCCGCATCCCACTTAACGGATAATTAAGATAGTGGTCCGATTCCTCCCTGAGCCCTTGCAGAGTGGCATAGTAGGTTGCTACTAACATCCCCCTTTGCTTGAAACTCCGGATTTCTTGATTCAGCCGATAGACACAAGCTGTGCTCCTCTTCTGGGCTTGGACCAAATTTCATATGCAGTTTCATGGTAGTAAACCATCTTCTTGGCCTGTGGTGTCATTGATGAGGGCAGCCATGACATCACAAGAGAGTTCCCATAAGATGAACTTTCTTTCCACGACCCGTAACGAAGAGCAGAGCTGATCTAGACTAATCTCCATGAATATGTTCGTCGAGCTTGGCTGTGATAATATGCAACGGAAAGTACGCTACTCCATCGCTTCCACCTCTGCCATTTTCGCTTGGAGAGTTTAACTACTTGAGATTGGGCATCATCTGCAGAAGTCATCTTCAATCTCTATTATCTTCCGAGGATTTTTGCGGAAGAGGCTTGCTAGATCTGAAACTTCGACTTCAGATCTTCTTCTTCTATCTATGACTTCGCGTAGATTAAGGAAATCTTAATCCTCAGATCATCTGAAGATCACAAAACCAATGAAGATCGATGGAGACCGATCACTATGAAGAGGCAATAAACCTGGAAGAAGGTGTCTCGATGAAGGTCTGAGTGGATAAGGAGAATGGAGTGTTTGTTGGAAATTTGCAGTAAAAAGACAATGAAAGAAAAATTGACTTGTATTCTCTCAAAATCAATTACAATTTGGATTCCGATTACAAAAGAGAGGAGAACGAATTTGACTCTCCCCTTTGTTTAAAACTGGGTTCTTCACGGTGGCGATGGAGTGCCTCCTTCGATTGATTGTGTCGAACTTGCTCTCCGTTGACGATCCGACCGTCTTGATTCACTGGAACGTAGTCTTCTCCTCACGATTTGACGCTGTGGAGAACTTGCAAAGCAAGTTTAAAACTCTTGATGAGTTGATAACTCTGATCGAGTTTGAAACTCTTGAAAAAGAGTTGATTTGAACCGAGAATCGGTTCTCAAGCCAAGGCCGAAGGCTTCAAGGAATGCTCCAAAGGATGAATGCCGATCTCTCCCTTTGCTGCCAAGCCCCAGATCCGAAAATGCTAGCCCTTAACCGAATTTCCCTTTGTTGATGAGAGAAAAATCCCCCCAAAAGCTAGCCGAAGATCTCTTCTTTTCTCCCCCAAAAAGAAGGATCCGAACTCAGTTGAGTTTCCCACTATTTATAGGGGATTAAGGGTGGTAACTACCCCTTTAATCCGCTCCTCAATGGGCTGAGTGGGGTGTAACCGCCCCCTCTTAAATAGCTCCCTAAATCGTGGGGAAAACGGTTTTGAAACCGTTCTGTTAGTGCTTTGAACGAGTCAAAACGCCAATCTGGGCATTCTGGACCTTAACTCTGCGTCTTAGAGATAAGACGCAGAGTTAGGCGCTTGTTGGGAGTTGAAAACGCAAGGGCCGCTTGCGTTCGGACCTTAACTCTGCGTCTTAAAGATGAGACGCAGAGTTGGGCGCTCGCTGGGAGTCGAAACGCACAGGCCGCATGCGTTTTAGAGATGAACTCTGCGTTTTAGGCTGAAAACGCAGAGTTGGGCCTGTTTTAGGATGAAAACGCACAGGTCGTACTGTTTTAGAGATGAACTCTGCGTTTTAGGCTGAAAACGCAGAGTTGAGCCTGTTTTAGGCTGAAAACGCACAGTTAGGCCGTTTTAGAGGTGAACTCTGCGTTTTAGGCTGAAAATGTAGTCTCTTTTGCTAGAGCGTTGCAAAGATCGTCACCTTGTAACCTTCGTCTTGGCTCCTTGAAAATATGAGAGTCGTCAGGTTGTAACTCCCGATGTTGATTGTGAATGCTGTTGAATTAGAGCTTTCATTAGTTGTCGTGAAGGTCGTCAGATTGTAGCCTTCTACGTGAAAATCCTCAAATTGTAGCCTTCTGGAAGTCGTCAGAGTGTAACTTCCATCATCGGTGTTTGATGGGGGATCAACTATCTATTGTGATTTTTAAACAGCCTACATGGAGGAAGAAGAACTGGATCCCCATTGGATCTCTGATACCATGTAGAAAAAACATAATTGAGAGAAAAAACTTTTTTTCTTAGTTTTGATAAATAAGCCGTCCATATATATAGGTCGCTATAATGAATTCCATCTATATATATAATCTGCCAAAATCAAGCCCAACCATATATAGATAACCATATATAACCATATATATATTGCCATATATAGTTTTCCTATCCTTGTACTTCTTTGCACTTTTTGATAACTGGTCGGAATTAGAAATAAAGAATATGGTGTTGACGGGGACAACGTCCATATATATAGGCCTATTGCAAGTGCAACTATGGTGGTGCGGTTGTGATTCTAGAAGGTTTTACACTTAGTAATTCATAGCTCGATAACTTATCATTTTCTATTTATCACGCACCTCCAATTTGGCTGATCTCTGCTCTTGGGGTTTATGGCCATGTAATTATTGGGTCATCAATCTCCATGATTTGCTTTGTCCTCATGTTAAGTTTGGTTGCCTTTGGGTTACTCATGGGTCTTCTAATTAGCACCGGGTACAATTAATAATGCCACATTTATTCCCGCATCAGAAAAATGGAAACTCGTTCCAGAAGTAAGCCAAAAAAAATCTAAATAGTGGAAAAAGTTATAGTGGAAATTTATTTTAGATAGAGCAAATTTATTTAAGATAAGGTCAATACACATCGTCCCTCATTCTTATTTAGACAGATATAATCAAGTAGTCTGTCTGTGCCCACATAACCATGCACACCGCACCATACAATAATAAGACCTCACTCATCAGGTCTCCAGGGTTGGGTAAGTTGCGTACGAAGCAATTCTACAAGTTCCTCCACCATAACCGACATCCTTTTTCATTCTGAAGTACCCATTCTCACCCCAAGAAGTACCCCAGGTGTTCTTCACTAGCCAATACTTAGTCTTGTCATCTGTCTCTCCATAACCAACAATAGTAACAGCGTGGTCAATTTTACTATTACATGGTCCTTCATATACTCCCGACTTGTAAAGATGAAACTCCCTTGCCTTACTGTAAATGGCAGCGGAAACAGGCTGTTGTGCCACTGCCTCCGCTAGCGCTTTCTCGTTTTTAGGTACTTCTGAGTAACCAGTAATTGTAGCCACGACGTCTTTGGCCTTCTCAGCTAAACAATATCCTCGTTGCTCTCCAATGTATGGATAATTACTTTCGCTTGTGAGGCCTTCATTTTTGATGATGTACTTGTATGCCTCTGTCATCCAACCTCCCCTGCACCCAAGATTACGTTTGTCACAATCTAGAAGTTGCTGCACAGATAGCCTGTAGAGTTCACCATTCTTGATCTTGTTTATAGCTTCTACCACTGCACACGTGACGAATGACCAGCAAGCACCTACAAAAAGTTTTTGACGCATATTTTACGATGTTAACGCTCATGTACTGTGTGATGAACATAACAGAGAATAAGAAGAATGATAAATTACTTGGTTTGGGTAGGAATTTACATACATTTGAGTTGATGTGTGGACAAACTTCTAAAGAACCTAGCATTAGGCATGCTGACGTACATAGCCAGATATATATATATATAACCAAACTCTATTATAAAATTAATAGTTTTATTAATTATTGTATTGTTGGACTGCGTCTCCTATCGATTGTATAGTATCTGGTGGGCTTTTGAGCAAGCCCAATTGGCCTTTGGGTCGAGTTAGTGCTAGGGGTTTAGCACTGTATAAGTCTCTCATGTGAGAGGACCTAAGATGAGATTGTGCTTTCGGAGAGAACATGAGATAGTGGTCATGTGTGTGAGGCTTAGAGAGAGACATATGATGGATTTCTCTTGTAATATTCTACCTAGTCGTAATTGATTTCTCATCTTTCTCAATGGATATACTTCGAACTTGGTCGACTGAACCATATAAATCTTGATGTTCTTGTTCTTAATTGTCATTTTTATGTCCTGCGAACTTCTTGTTTGATCTGTCGGTTGTAGAGATCAAAATTCAGGATCTTGAATACCCAACACAAATCTGTATAGCTTTTTTAAAACTTAATTTTTAGAGGACGGTGTTTCTTAAAAGACTAGAAAAATAGGTTTGGAAGAAGGGGGTGCTTTATGCAATTTATTTTAAAAACAAAATAAAAACTTAGAATAGAAACAAAATAAAAACTTTGAATAAAAATTTCTTACCACATTTTCCTTGATTTATAACAGGGTTTACGGCACCTTTGGTCCTCCAATCCACACTAGAAGGTACATCAGAAACATTGAGCTGTTCCGTAGTAGTCTCATACTTGATGGATCTGAGGGACTCCATAAACTCTGTTTCTGGTTCCATAACTCCACCAGTGTAAATAGCTGTAAACTCTTCTGTGGTAAGATCGGCAAACTCATTGAGGCCCAGAGTATAATTGTACTTTCTAGCATTATTAAAATCTTCAATAAATTTTAGATTGTCCTTAAATATTTCAAGTCGTCGAGCTCTCTCAGCTTTATCTTCATAGATTCGTCCATGCTCAGCCATCCACTGCTCATGCTTTCTAGCTATTGCAAGATCACCAACTTCTTGATGATCATTAGTCGCAGCACAGAGCGTTGCACTCATGCTTTCTAGCTATTGCAAGATCACCAACTTCTTGATGATCATTAGTCGCAGCACAGAGCGTTGCAATAAGCAAGAAAAGGACAAGAGTCGAATGCCATATTGTTGCACAAGTCATTCTATTAGATTTGTAATTGTTCTTTCTTTGGAGTGATTTTGGGAGTGAGCTAAAGACTGCATTTATACCCGAGCCAGTGGACGTTGTATAACTATGATATTAAATCCGAGGGGACCCAATTCTACAAGAATTGGTTGAATATTTATTAGCCTTAACAAGACAATATCTCTTCCTTTATATGTGATGAGAAGTTGGCGTCTTTCTTAAAATTACAAAAAATTGACAATCATCTACGTACATGACATGTATCATATTAGAAAATAGCCTTAAGTCCAACCTACAAAAGAAAAGCCTTGAGCCCTTCTATTCTATCAGAACATGACACGTGGATACAAAATCTAATTTTTACCTAATTAAGAATCTTCATTGAATTAAAACTATTAAGACTTACAAAATTATAATAGTCAAATATTTGCCAATATTATTCAAATTATAACTACCCATAATTTAAAAAGTCTCATAATCATCTCTCTTTCACATACAAATTTTTGAACTAATCCAAAGGCTCAAAAACTAGTCATGCGTTAAAAAACTACCATGTATCCATCTATCCTATTAAAAGTACACTTGTAAACACCTATTCCAATCTTCATCTAAGAATACTAATCAAATTGAAACAATCAATAAGCAAAAACTTTTAATAATCAAAACCCTCATTTCTAATCATCTTTACTAAAGAATCAATGTCAAGTTCAAACTATCCCTAAATTGAAATTCTATTGACCAAAGACATTCTTTATATAAAATGATTTTTCTAGATTATGAAATTATCAAGTTCCTCTTCAAAAATCAAAAAATTACAAATAACCCATGAAAATCCAAAAATTATAAATTACCGTCTAAAATCCAAATTTTAGAAACAACCTCTTGATAACTCTAAAATTTCAAATAGGCTTGTTACAAAATCAGAAGTTTTCTAACAACTACTTAAGATTTAAAAACTACGAATAAACCCCTAAAAAATTTGAAAACTGCAAATAGCAACATGAAATCTTAAAAATTATAAATTGTCCGTTTTAAAATCCATAAATTATTAATATTTCCTTGAAAATCTAAAAACTACAAAAAGTCATACAATAAATTAAAAAAATACAAATGACCCCTTGAAAATTTATAAACAATCCTTTAAAAGTTTTACAACTTGTCTCTTGATAGTTTTAAAAATAATAAATATCCTACTAAACATTTTACAAACCACCCATTTAAAATTTTACAACTAGATCCATGAAAAGTGTAAAAATGGCAAATACCTACTGAGAGTTTAAAAATATTATAAAAACTTTCTAAAAGATTACAAATGACCCCTTGAAAGTTTTAACTTACAAACACAGCGTAAACAATGTAAAAATTACAAATAGTCTCATGAGATTAAATAATAATAAATAAATCCTGAGAAATATGAGACTTGCGAATAGCACACAAAATTAATAAAATTATAAAATGGCTCCTTTAAAATTTATAAATTACGAACAATCCCTAAAAAATTCATAAATTAGAAATAGTCTTCTATAAAGTTTGATAATTACAGATAGCCACAAAACTATTACAAGAAAACACTTAAAAATTTTTAACCAGTCCCTTTAAAGTTCTAAAAAATATAAATATCCTCTTAAAAGTTTCACAAATAGCTAATTAAAAATTTTACAAGTAGCTAATGCAAGTTGATAAAGTAACAAACATTGTACTAAAAGTTTTATTGCTAACAATTTTACAAACAACCTCTTGAATTCTAGAATTACAACACCTCTAAATAATTTACACAAAGCCCATTGAAGTTTTTAAATTATAAGGAACCCCTCAAATAACAAAACAATCCTGTCAAAACTTTACAACTAACCCCTTGACAGTTTGAAAAATTACAAACAACCTAACAACTTTACTAAACTGCACCGTAAAATTACAAATGGCCACCTAATTTATTTTATTATATTATAATATTTTAATATATCAATGGTGTTTATAATGCATGAGGTGGGTGGATATAATAATCAAGGGACTGCTAGTTTATTAATAGTAGGGGATGATGGTGATGCTTACTATCCATTTTGCGGATTAGAGAAAAGTCATAATCTCAATTCGTGCCTTAATTCCGGGCGAACCAAATATGAGCCTAAATTCAAATTTTAGTACATTGAAATTCTAGCTATTTTCTTTAGAAATTGAAAATTTTCTTTATAGATTTGTATAGGAGATTAATGGTTAAGCTAGCTAGTTTGAAATTTAAGAATTTAAGATTATAGTTTATCTAAAAAAACCTACTAGTCAAACTAGCTAGGATAGCTTATCATATTTAAAGGACGTATAAACCAATATATATAAATCAAAGAAGTCAAAATAATCTATGTGAGCACTAGTTGGATACTTGTAACTATATGATAATAAAAACAATATGGACCCGATTCAACAAGAATTGGTTGAATATTTATTAGAGCCATACTCATATTGACAATACGTTTAGAAATATTATTTTGAGAATTGATAACTTGGAGCATTCTGAACCTTATATTGTGGATCCCTTTTTAATTAATTTATTAGGGTTAGGTTGCGTTGGGTCCTAGGTTATTTAATAGAGAACTAATTTATGTCCCTGAACGTCTATCCTTTTGTGAGTGAGGAATTACTTCAAGTCAACTGTATTTTTTTAAAATTGAAGACCGTCATTTTTTTAATTGGAGAAGGAAATAGGTTAAAATACCACATCAGTCTAAAATGTGACACCCATTTAGCAGTTTAGCCTATAACATGATGTTAGAGTCAACTGTATTTTTTTAAAATTGAAGACCGTCATTTTTTTAATGGGAGAAGGAAATAGGTTAAAATACCACATCAGTGTAAAATGTGACACCCATTTAGCAGTTTAGCCTATAACATGATGTTAGCGACGGTCTAGCTTAAAAAATGACAAAAACGATGTCAAATAGGTTGAATATTTATTAGAGCCGATTCAACAAGAATTGGTTGAATATTTATTAGAGCCGTACACGCATTGACAATACGTTTAGAAATATTATTGTGAGATTTGATAACTTGGAGCATTCTGAACTGTATATCGTGGATCCTTTTTTTATTAATTTATTAGGGTTAGGTTGCGTTGGGTACTAGGTTATTTAATAGAGAACTAATCTATGTCCTTGATCATCTATCCTTTTGTAGGTGGGAAATTATTTCAAGCCTACTATGTTTTCTTTTAAGTAAAGACCGGCATTTTTTTAATGGGAGAAGGAAATAGGCTAAAATACCACATCAGCCCAAAAAGTGAAACTCATTTACCAGTTTAGCCTATAACATGACGCTAACGACAATTTAGCCTAAAAGTGAAAAAAAAAACGATGTCAAATAGGAATTTTCGTTACCAGAGATAATTTTAAAGTGAAAATTCAGTGATTTTTACATATAGACCCCCACTCTATCATATTTTCAGATTTATCTTCTCAACTTTAATATATGTGGAAGAAAAACTATCCCCTGCCCCAAACCCCCGTCATCTCTTCCCTCCTCCTTCCCACCATCTCTTCCATTATTCTCTCATCCTAATCCTTAACCTCTCCTCTCTACCACTCTCTTTCTCTCTCCTTTTTCATATCCTCCATATTACTTTCTTCGTTTCCTCTTTCTCCAAACCCATCTCTTCTTAACTTCTTTCACTTCTCTCTCTTCTTTTTCCTCTTTTTCCTTCTTTCTCTTCTGTCCTTCACTCCTCCTAATACTTCAAGTAGAATGTTTAATGTTGGGTTTGAGAAAGAATGAGGAGGAGGAGGAGGGGAGGTTGGGGATTTGGAGGAAAAGAGAATGAAGGAGATGGTGGAAAGGAGAAGATAAGAATGAGCAAGTGAGAGGATGCAGAAGAAACGGGAGAGAGGAAGAAAATTTGGGGGTCAGAGAAGAAGAGAATGGGGAGATGGTTGGAAGGAGGAAGGAAGAGAATGATGGGAAATTGAGAGTTCTTTTTAAAAATTTTAGAAAATTTTTGGTGGTTAATCCAAAAAATATGATAGAGTAGGGGGTCCGGCACCAATGTCTATTTGTTATCGTATTTTTCACTTTGTAGGCTAAACTGTCAGACGTCGCTTTATATGCTAAATTGCAAAATATGTGTCACTTTTTATGTTAATCTTGTATTTTAGCCGAAGGAAATACATTTAACCCCAAAGGGAACTTACATCAGTCTCAATGTCTTTTTTAATGCAATCCAGACAATGACATAGCCATGAATGCAACACCCTATTAAAATCCCTAAAGCGAGCAAGTGAATGTGCTATGCTGAAAAGAAATGTTTTCGCTGAAAAGCACCAATGTTTGTGTAACAAAAATAAGTATTGGTCAATATTAAACTACCTTACACATATCTCAAGCAGACTACACCCCAAGTTGACCCCAACAGGCCGAGCAAGGCGTCCCTTCTCGCCAGGTCGAGACAGACATTTCTTCTCGCTCGGCTGAAATAAGAGTCCCTTCTCATCAAGACAAGATAGGTGTCCCTTATCGCTTGGCCGACTGGTCCCTTCTCCCCAGGCGAAATCACATCCTCTCCCTAGGCGGTGTCCCTTCTCTCTAGCCTGAGGTAAGAACTTTCAAGGCCGACTAAAATAACGATACTTGTCAGTCTACCTACCAGGTCAATCCTATGAGTACCCGCACTCAGCCTGCTATATAAGCTGACAACTTACGTAGCTAGCTAAAAAGGCAGTGTTTACTGGACTTTAGCCGGACGACGAGAAAGGCGGTATATCCAGGAACCCCACAATGATAACTAACTACTCTTGCATTAATTGCTCTGACTAAGTCATCATTACTCAAGTCCCCATAGTCTTTATGACTCATCAGACCCAATCTGCACCAATCGGCTATTTTTGCTTTGCACCAACCACCTGGATGACCATCTTCACCAGCAGTCAACACCTATTAGCTATCTGTTGGGTTAGTTACCTACTGGAAGCTTAAGTTACCTATCTGCCCTTCTGATCCTCTGTAAAAGAAAGCCATGTAGCTCAAGGTAGCTCTCCAGTCTTTTCACACAATTTTGAAACCTTCTTCATCATCTCACATTT